CAAATCATGCCATGTGGCATGATTGTCTGTTGACCAATCAGTGGCTATACTTTCAAAAAGCCAATGGCCACTTTCAACCATCTGTCAATGGCCGTTACCAGTAAAAAAACTTTGCTAAGTCTTACTTTCAGGGGGAGGCCTTATATTTAGCAATTCAGCAAAACCTATGGTAGGTCTTATTTTCAGAGGATGTCTTATTTTCAGGGAAACACAGTACTAGTAATAATTGTTTATATATATATATAGTATGCATATATGTGACTAAAAATAAAGTTTTGTTTTAAGAAAATAGTAACTAGAAAAAATGCTTAATACTCTACTAATTACTTATGCTTTTCTTTATAAATGTACACATTCATATTGTAGTATTTATACTATTTTCCAAATATTTTTGTATATCTCCATCTGCACTTTTTCCCTATTTCTTATCTTGGATTTTGTGTCAGTTGCTAAATGGTACCATTTTAGTAACCTTGTTTTTACCTTTCCCTTTAAAAATATTAGATAGGTGACATTGAGAAACTTGAGACGATGTTTATCAATGTAATTAGCCTGGGTGAACAGTTTGAACAGTAATATGTCACAAATGAAAGATTATAAGTAATTTATTGTTGAGAAAAGAAAAAATACGACAAAAAGTACAGATAAAAAGAAAAGTGTAATAACAAAATTAAATTAAACTAAAATAAAATAAATAAATAAAGTAAACTAAACTAAAAAATAAAAGAATAATAAAATAAAATCAGTTGGCATTTAAGCAGGAAAGTCTTGGATAAATTGGAGTCGTTTGTTAAAAGCAGGCATGTTTGAGATTTTTCCAGTCTGGACTGAGGGAACTGCATCTGAAACAACATTGATGAGTCGCTTGACACGACTAAAAAACATATATTTTAAATAGTTACATAAAAGTTGAAAATTTCAAATGAGATGAGAGGAATAAGTTGAGCTGGTCCAATCCGGAGCAGGGTCAGTAGCTCACATTTGGGTTCACCTCAGACTAATATAAGTTTATTTTTACATAAATTTTATAATTATTTTCTAATTATTAATTATAATTAATAAAATATTAATAAAAATATAAATCCATTTCATTGATGGTGTAATAAGTCTAGTGGAAAAGAAAAGCCATCTTAGCACTTGTATATTTGAAAATATTAAACAGTAAACACCAAATATGTTTGTATAAATGTTTTTAAATACAAACAAAACCTTTTAAACCAGTAACAGAACTTTAACGCAACTGTGGGTCCTCAGACGAGGTTCGAACTCGAGTAAACCTCAAAATTCTTATTTGACGCCAGAATGTAAACAACGAGACTCAGAACTGTTCGAGTATGTGTCAAACTATCTGTCAAGGTCTTAGTGGAAGACAAACTCTAACATGAGTGCTCATAAATTGGTAGATCATTGACTTGCAAGTCTATAAAATGTTGGCCGAGATAAACCTCGGCCAACATTTGAACAAAAAAAGGGAAATTTTTGATAGCTGAAAGATGAAAATGATTGTTAAATTCTTAGATGTCAAAAAATGGTATAAACAATGGCTGAATTATGAGTGCGTGTGTTATTGTTTTATAAACAATCACCGGGCAGAGTTGACAAAGAGGTATCAAATGGACACCTCAAACTGGGCCTTTCCCATGACCTGAAGAGGTTTCATCTTGCATCTGGAGACAAAGGAGAGACCAATCAGGAAGCGAGAAATGGACGAGGAACCAATCCGAAATGCAAATAATGGAGAGAAAAACTAAAAAAAAAATTGAAATTCAAGGTCAAAGAAGAGTCTCCTCTGTATTCCGCAAAAAGTCGTAATCTGTATTGAGTTATGTCATCACCATCAACTTAGAACTCTGCCGCACCATTTCCCGATTGTCCGTTTTACCCAGCGATCTCATCTTGTCTGCCCCAGGGCTATGACCAACACCGAAGTTCTCGCCTCTCTGAAAGACTAATGAAGGACTGTCAATTGTCGATGTAAGCATAAATGTTAACAAAGAAACAGCTTTCTTGCATAAAACACTTGTCATCATTTGCCTCCTCTGTCACAGCCCACATACAACCTCTCCTGAGGTTCATCCTGATGCAGGATAAATTGATCCCATCTAAAAGTTGTTGACCTTACACAGGTGCCGAGAAGTGGGTTTTCAAGTCCCCTATCTCCACTGGGTTGGCTATCTTACACAACTTCCAAATGTTTTTGGCCTTCACCAAGGCCTGCCTCGGGTTTTTAACTAAACTGACTTCCAAACTGGAATGTTAGAATGATGATGTTCGAAAAATCAATTTTAAATTTTCAAATATGTCAAATTCATATGGCTGATTGACTTTGCTTGAATCTTTCTTACAGGTACTTCCACGCATGTGCCATCATATCGCAGTCCTTAAAGTTAATACAGTTGGCATTCAGGTTGGATTTATATGAACAGCAAATGTATGATATAAATATAACTATACTTTTTATACCATCCACAGGTATGACATATAGTGTGTTTTGGCTTTAAAATAATCTTGGTTAGAACTCTTATGCATTAAAAATAATTTCATTAAAAAAAATAAATTCATTTAAAATCAGTATTAAAATAATGTAGATATTTGATATTTTCAATAAGTTTCATTTTAAAGTAACTAAAAAAAATTGATAATATTAAATACTGTATTCATAAAATAAAAAAAATGAACTATTTCTCAAATAAATATTAAAAAATATTATTTTAAAAAAATGTACTTACCAGTATTAATTGTTTAACATCATGAGTTGATCCAAAACTTTCATTGTCTCTTTCCTAGAAAAAGTAATGAAATTATAATAATTATAAATATATAAAAAAACAGGATTTTATTTTAGCAGTTTATAATAGAAAAATAATATTGATAGCATTCAATATAAATGACAAAATTATTATTATATTTTATTATACTTCATGCTGAAAACAGTTTCGAAAATTAATATAGTAATATACAAACAAAATAAATAATTCTTTTATTTTAGCAGATAACATCAAAAGTATTTCTATAGCAGCAATTCAAATATGTTACTCAAAGTAAAAATACAACAATCTCAAATATTTTCAAATTTCTTGGTACAGCTTCAAGAGAAGAAAAAAAAAATTATTTTTAAAATCTTCATAATTCATTTAATCATCATCCAGAAAAACTTTAATTTTCTTTAGGCTATTCGGTTCTTATAATAAAGTGTTCAGAATTATATTAATCAGAAATAAATGCAAAATTAATAAAATATTTTATTTTATTTAATTATTTATTATTTAAGAACTTAAATAAAAGTTTTATATAAAAAAAATTTAAATAAGCTACAAATATAAACAGTCATTAACCTGATTTTTAGATTAATGCCAAACAACTGCTGAATTACATTGGGCTATATAATAATGCTACTATTTAATAATTAAATGTCAAGTAATTTGGCATACAGATAGATGTTAGGCACCATCTCTGATAAACCTATTAAGAGATGTCACTTTCCTTAGCCTATCATATACACCATGCTGGGATAAAGCAATAGCCAGCTGAGTGCCATGGAGGAATTCTGGATTCATGAATATACAGTCATACCCTGACTTACACGAACCCGGAGTTACGCAATTTTCAAATCTCGTCGATTCATCTTTTGTTTGAGCGCCACGCAACTCTTGATTATTCACTCCCCCCCACACTATTGTCCAGCTTACATGTTCGGACGTGTCGCGCGAAATTGACGCATAGCTACAATTTATTTTGTGAAATTTATTTCTGTTTGTTATATCTACGGAGACTTGAGAGACTCTATGTGGTGATTTCTTGTAACCGTGAACGAACCAAATGGCGAGATAAGATTAACAAGAACATTTATTAGCTTACATAAATGTTCTTGTAACCCTACTTGGATTTTACACAAAGGCATCTGCAATCGTAAACAATTGACGAAAAAAGTATACATTTATCAGATAATAAACAAAGACTCATTTTGTAAACAATTTACCTTTTGTATATACAACTGACAAGATTACCTTTCAAATTATAAACAGACTCGATCCCAAGCGGTCTTTTGATCGTCGGACATACAAAAGAAATGAACAGATGGCGCCTAACTTAAGCGCGGTTTACAATAACGAATATGATTAATCTTAACACTCTACTATGTCATCCAAACGAAGTAGAACTGATTCTTCTGCATCAAACAAGAAAAGAAAAACTTTATCTTTGGAATGTAAAGTTAACATTATTAAAGACTTCGATACAAAAATGAAAATTTGTGAATTGGCAAAGAAGTTTGATCTACCGGAATCGACGGTCAGAACAATTATAAAAGGTAAAGAAAAAATTCTCGAAGCTGTGAAAAATGCTCAATCTTTAAATTCAAGCATCATTCGTAAACGTCACGGTATTATCGCTGAGATGGAAACAATGTTAAAATTATGGTGTGATAATCAAGTTAATGTGAAAAATTGTATAATAATATAATTTGTTATACGTATGTATTATCTAAGATTTTATTAAACATTTTTTTCTAAATTATTGTTTTGTTTAGTCTCCGGTCCCAATTAAAAATAATTTGTATGAATTTATATGCAAAATTATACCCCGACTTACGCGAATTCGACTTACTCGGTTATCGCTCGGTCCCACCTATCACGTAAGTCCGGGGTATGACTGTATATCTAAATTAATAGTTTTGGAAGCAAAGATCAGATGGATGTCTGGGTAGCATAATTGGCAATGCATCTGCATAGCAAGCTGGAGTTGTAGGTTTGAGTCCAATTCTTTTCTTCCAGAACCTTCTAAATTAATTATCAAATTTAATTAGAGATGGCACCTAACATCTACCTCTAGACCAAATTACTTGATATTTAATTATTAAATAGTAGTATTATTATAGTCCAACATAATTCAGCAATCACTTGGCATTAAATAAACTATAATAATAGTCTGTTCTTTAAAAGTATTACTTTCAAATTCAATACACATAATACAGGATGGCATANCATCCATTAACCCAACTTTTAGATTAATTGCCAAACAATTGCTTGATTACATTGGACTCTAGACCAAATTACTTGATATTTAATTATTAAATAGTAGTATTATTATAGTCCAACATAATTCAGCAATCACTTGGCATTAAATAAACTATAATAATAGTCTGTTCTTTAAAAGTATTACTTTCAAATTCAATACACATAATACAGGATGGCATACAAAAAAGTAGCCTCAGTCCATAACTTAGTAGAAACACAAAATAATGTGGTAATAAACACAGAAGCCAACTGCTGGTATAACAGTCATAGATGTTGAAAGTGGTCATCTGTCACACTTATACACAGTTACGATGTCAAATCATGTTTAGGAACACCAGCATAACATAGTGACATCAATGGCAGTGATTGTATGATTGTCAATGTCCCTCAATTCATGTATTGAGTGTGGATTTGCATAAATGGGACATCAGTGTTCACTCAACTAATATGTTTTGCTTACTTTACCCCATACACTAGCCCCATAGACTTAAACCAACCAGACTAGTTTTTTGAACACTGCTCTATATTACAGCAACAGTAATATTTGCTCATCCTTGACTAAATTTCTTTATAGTTAATCATTTTCATACCAGGAGAATGTTTCTGAATTTTTGTTAACTACCTTCCCATTCACTCTTCTCAAAACTTCATACTGATTCTGCTATTTTAAAGTTTTTTTGAGAATTCTGATTTCTTCAAAGTATCATTATTTTTTTCAGTTGCTTGTTTGTAAAATATCTCTTCTGCACTGATGCTTATCATCCCATTCTTATAATCTTCTCGCAATATTCTTAAAAGTCATTCTCAAATACTTTGCCATCTCTCCCATTTCTATTATATGCATTGAATAAATCCCTTTACTTATGAATCTCTCTAAGATACCATTTTAAATGATAACAAAACATTCAATTTTATAAACCACTTTGAACTCTTTATTAAATGAATTTTAGTAGTAGTAGTAGTAGTAGTAGTAGTAGTAGTAGTAGTAGTAGTAGTAGTAGTTTATTAAATAAATCTTATAAATCATAAACATCAGTTAATTAAAAATAATAGAATAGATGAGGATGACTTCTAGGACAGGGACAAGTGAAAATGCCATTTGGATGATCTATGTTTGTGTTTTTTTCTATGAATCCTGTCAAAAAATTGCAAGAAAATATAATTTAAGCAGAAGGAACAATAAAATTTTATAGCTACTTTGAACAAACAAAAAACAAAAAACTTTAAAATGGATTGACTAATGTATTAAAGAAATCATAATCCAGAAAAATGTTAGAACAGTAGAGTCAATAAGTACTTTTGAAGAAGCTGTTAGTAGAAGATAGTTAGCAAAAGAGAATCAGAAGTGGAATGAGATTCTGCAAATATATACAAGACTATATATATATATATATTAGACTATATATGATTCTATTATTATTCAATTATTACAAGAATAATAATAGAAATCACCACGTGAAATTTGACAACTTTGATTCCTGTATATATATATATATATATACAGGAATCAAATTTGTCAAATTTCACATGGTGATTTCTTCACCTCTCAAATGCATATAGTAATTCTGAGTATCTTGTTTGAATAATAATTGTTTTATTAGGTAGTGTGCAAAATTTCAGGTTTTTCTATAAAAAGGTTGCTGAAATATAAGCAATAGAAAAGTGCACAAAAAAAAAAAAAAAAAAAAGCTGTATTTTCTTCTTTTCTTCATCTGCATTGCAAATGATCCTAGAGAACAAACTACTGAGCCTAAAAAACTCAAATATTAAACTTAAGCCTTTCTTGTTATCATTGATGTGTTCGTGAGTAAAGATAAAATTAAATTGAAAGAAATGATTTTCATTCAGAATGTTATCCATAACAACAAAAGCTCAAATTTATGCAAATTAAAACTTGTTATAATGATTTTACTAACAGCATATCAAAAGTGTTTGGTGGTTGTTGGCTGTTATGTTACCAAGCATCAACTGAACTGTATAGTGGTACCTCAGGATACAAAATTAATCCGTTCCGAAACTGAAATCGTATCATGAAAATGTCGTAAGGTGAATCATTTTTCCCCATACAATTACATGTAAAACCAAATAATTCATTCCAACATGAAAAACACACTCAAATTAAAGCTAAGTAGTACATTAAAAAAAAAAAAATTATAGTAAGGAAAACACTGAAAAATGCATTTTGTAGTTGTAAATGTATAAATAACCATAATAGAATNAAAAAAATAACTTTAGTAAGGAAAACACTGAAAAATGCATTTTGTAGTTGTAAATGTATAAATAACCATAATAGAATAATAATTGATTTAAAAAAATGTAGTTTTATTTGCACTTTACCTTTGAGGATAGATGATGGAGGAAGTGTGAACTGGTGGCAGAAGAGAGGGAGAAGGGAAATGATACTAAAACTTAATTTACATAACATAATGTAACAATAACTTAAAAATAACTTAACACTTATTTTTTTTATCTTTTCTGTTTTATACTTTTTTTTAAATTTTATTCACTGCTTTTTTGCTTTCTTTCCTTCACTTCCACCAGCACTTTCAATGGATAGAGGTCGCTTGGTAAAATATTTATCCAAAGAGGTTTGGCTTTGCCTACTTTTTAAATGTTTCTAAAATGACTTAGGCAAATGTCATTACTCCGAGCAGCAATACGGCCAGTGAGAACCTTTTCGGGATGTTTCTTTTCAATAAAATCAGTCACTTTCTGATAATACCTCAAGATTTCCTTTATCGAGCGAGATCCTTCCACGACGAAGCAAA